TGGCACATACAATTAAAATAGTTTCTAATTGTTGTTATTATTATAGCGGAGGTGATGGTAGTTGTCTCTCTTTTCTCCCTGCAGCAGGTTTCCTAAATCACTGACTCCTGTCTCTTGCTATTCTCCCAGATTCTACATCCAGGCAGACTTGACTTCAGTTCCTATGTTGTATCCACTTAGCACCTGCTACATTCTAAAGGACAAGTAATATTACACATCCAGAAACTACAAAACCACATTGAAAGTGGAGTAGTTAGAATGTGCCAGAAATATGATAAACTTCTTTTCATGCAGTCCCCAAAATAAGTCTATTCTGGAATTCTGAAAAATTGATGGCGGCAATGACATAGTGTGTGAATCTCTGAATTTTCCCATTAAAACAGAAAAGAACAACAAGAACAGCAAAGAAAAAAAAAAAAAAAAAAAAAAAAAAAAAAAAAAAGCAACTTTGACAACAAGATTAGGTAGCAAAGTGTTCTCACAAATTCTCAAATATGAGCTAACACTGTCATGACCCACATGATACTACAATTTTTACAGGAGACAACAGAAGGAAGCAATGAGGTATCTGATGGAAATGAGGTCAAGATAACATCCAAATTTCTCATAGATACTCATGAGAAATTGTTTCAGGCCAATGATATAGCAGTAGCTAAAAATGGAAGAAGTACTTTGTAGGTGAGCAAAACAGCTCCTCTCTAATATCTGAAGAGTCTGAACAGTCTCCCGTCTGTGAACTCTTGGAACTCACTAGCTGAATCTTCTTCTCAGGAGAACCTTCAGGGAATAAAACCAAACTAGAGTGGGTGGAAAAGATAGAGGAAAATAAAATGGATGGTCCAGATTAAAATGGGTGATATAAATGGGGTCAGGAGTTCTCAAAAAAATAGAAGGGTATTTTTTTTTTTGACACTTCAAAAAATAGATGAAAGGGAGTTCTATATTTGTGAAATTAGAAATGGTTTTTTGATCAACGCTTACCCCTTAACAGACTAGGAAAATTGATTTTATGTAAAAAAAGAAGGAAGAAAGGAAAAAAAGGGAGAAAAGAAAACCTAGAGAAGCATGACTGATGTAAGAAAAAGATAATAAAAAGTAGAATGGTATCTCTGCAAACACACCAATATTTTATGCTCATAAGAAAGAGGAAAATTGTGACCTAATAGTTCAAAAGATGCTAAAATAAATGCTCTAAATGATAAAATATAGAAAGGAACAACATAAATCAAATTTAGAAAAACTGAAATATGGGACTAGAATGCAGGAAAGGATTAGAAATCAAAGAGTAAGTCATTTCAGATATGAAAGCTAAACTTGTAAGAACACGTGAGTGAATAATAAGAGTATACCATAAGAATTTTAGAAAAGTAAAAGGAGCAACTAAAAAAATAAAAATTAGAAACTAAATTATTCAATTGAAAGTGACACATATAGGATATAAGCCACAAGACCAAAAACATTAGGATTTCCTAAAGAGAAAAAGCAATGAAATAAAATGAACATTAATAACTATAGGCTGGGTGCAGTGCCTCACACCTGTAATCCCAGCACTTTGGAAGGAAGAGGCGGGTGGATGATCTGATGTCAGGAGTTTGAGACCAGCCTGACCAACATGGCAAAACCCTGTCTCTACTAAAAATGCAAAAGATTATCCATGTGTGACAGCGAGCACCTGTAATCTCAGCTACTTAGAAGGCTGAGGCAGAAGAGTTGTGTGAACCCGGGAAGTGGAGGTTATAGTGAGCTGAGATGGCGCCATTGCATTCCAGCCTGGGCGACAGAGTAAGAGTCTGTCCCAAAAAATAAAATAATTCTAGGAAACTTTCCTGAAAATAAAATGGAAATATTGATATTGTGAAAAGGAACACTACATCCCTGGGAGAGTGATCCATAATGAATAAGATATATTGTAGCAAATCTCCCAAACTGAAAAGAAAAAAAATCAGTTTCACTTCCACAGAAATAGATAATAAGAATTAAGGGGGAAAAAAGCCCAGATTGTCATCAGTTTTCAAAGGAATTATTTATTCTGGAAGTAAATGGAGTAACATTTAAAAGGTATTCAAGTTTTGTGAGCCAAGGATTTTACATCTATCAAAGTGATTTTCAAGTATAGTAGCCACAGATACAACTATCAACATACAAGAACTCAATCTATTGTTCCCAGTAAATAGAAATGTATTTGCCCACTTGTTCAGGCCCAAAGCTTGGCATGTTTTTTGTTGTCTTTATTTCTCTCATAATTCAATTCAACTGAAAGTTTCAATGGCTCTACCTTCAAAATATATCCGAAAGGGGGGACCTTCCACCCCTATTGTTATTCTGTTAATCAACCATCATCTCTTGCTGGCATGACTGCAGTGGCCTCCTTCCTTGTTTCTCTCCTTCCAGTCTTCCCCCCCTCTAATCTGTTCTTTGCACAACAGCCACAATAAGTTACTATTATCCTATGCCTATGCTAAAAATCTCATGATTTCTTACATTACTTAGTCTGGGACACCTCTCTAACCTGCCCTTTGCTCACTGCAATGCTGGTACAATGCTAGCCCATTATTTCACTCTAAGTATTGTCCAGCTAGGGAGAGCATCCATTTGCTGTTCCCCTGCCCAAAATATCCTTCCAAAGATGAAAATATGGTTGCTTTCCTCTTCACTAACTTGCCTTTTCAAATGTCTTTTTTTCAGATTGACCTTTCCTTTCTAAAATAGTACCATCTCCTTTGCTTTATTTACCCTTACAATGCTTTATAGTTCTTCACAGGACCTCTTGATCTTCTGACATATTACAAATCTATTTGTTGCTCTCCTCCCTTCCAAAACATAAGCTTGATGAAAGAAGAGACTGTGTTTATTTTGTTCACTTCTGTATCCTCAGCACCTCAAGTAGTGCCTGGTATGAGGTATACATTTTCCTGATACTCTTTCTGAAATGAATTCACAAGAGGTGTTACAGACTAAAACATAATGTTTTATCTTTTGTGGAAAATATATCAATATAGGTTGTTACTGAAGGCAAAATATTTTGGAGCTATTCTTAAATTTTTTTTCTGAATTTTTCAAAGAGTAAGATGGCATGCATCTCCAATAAGTCCCCTTCCAATACCACTGTCAGAGTAGGTACTGGGCTGAATATGGCTTTGAATTTTCTGTTTTCCAGCAAAGAGAGAAAGCCTTACAAACAATTCAGGCTGTAATTATTAATTAGTGTCTATTCAAGTACAATGCACCTAACAGAGATTCTTCTAATCAGATTGCATACCTTATGTCTAAAAATGAATCATTTTGTGAGATGTTTATTTAAGTATTATGGCATTACACTGTTCTATACTCTTTTAGAAGCTAAATAGCAATAATGTATAATCTTATTTTCAAGAAATCTGCCTTTTATAAACAGTTAAGAAAAGCTAATGTAAGAGATTCAGAAATAATTCAATTTATATGCTATATAATTTGGTCAGACTATGTGCAACCTACACCAACCTATTTGTTATATCATACTGCAGTTTATCAATTGTTACCTTCCTCAATCCTCTCCAGCTGTAGGTCCTGAAAAGTCTTTTGCCTGTAGCTTCAATCCCTTCCAGTGCCTGGACCAACTGAAATTGAATAGGAAATATATTTCAGCCCTATATGAACTGGTACAGATTTTGTTTCTAGAAGCCTGTGCCCTTTCCTTGTAATATTCAGTATGTGTTCTGTCCCTTTTAGATGGGTTGCTGCTCAGATTTTTGTTGAAAGCACGTATAACTGCTCTAAATGTCAGCCCATTGAAAGAGGGCTTGACCACTCTGTCCAGCTTTTTCTAACACTTACCAAGTGGGAATTCTGGTTTATACTATTCTCAGTTACTGATGGGGGCCTTAATGCAAGTCATACCACTTCCCCCAGCAGCAGGCACTAGTACTTGACCATGAGGCTCTGCACCACAGAAAAAATGAATTGTATAAATTGTATAAACCAAATTCATCCTCTCTATGTTTATATAATAAGTTTCTCATTTATTTACCAGTGTGAGGAAATGTGCTCAAAGCATAGATAACTAAATAGATGTGTCCAGTTATTCTACTGAGTGAACAGTAAAATATGCATGTCTATGGCTCAGAGATACAAACTTTTCAAGAGCAGAGTGGACAAACATAAATACATACTTGGGGTTGAGACTAAGCAAAAATCTAAAATATCCTATTTATTAGAAAGTTTTTATTTTTTGCCTTTATTCTTGATTCAGTCATCTTAGTATCTTTAAAGTCAATTAATGGTTTTTTAATTACCATTTGGTGCAAATGTGTATTAACTTTATGTTATTTATAGGACTAATGCAGTGTTTGAATATAAACCAAGAACTCTATGTCTGTAGTCAGCAATTTAATCTTGCTTTTGAGGAATTTGTAATGTGAAATCACTGTTTAGCCTTGTAATAGCTCTCCTTAGGATCAAGCACTTCCCAATAAGTTTGGCATTAGACATGAAAAAAATGCATGAATATGTTTTAGTCACAGATATAAACAATGTAATTAATCTTTATAAATACACAGAATGGAACATTTAGTCATGAAAATATCTGAACATAAATTTCAGCATTTAGCCAATTTGTTTTTATTTCCTTCTGTACAGTAGTGTAGGAGTTCAAGAATAGACAATGATTATTTGAGTGAAATATGAAAACTGTGTCCTAATTTTTAGAGGATTTGGATAAGAATTCCTAATTCATATTATGTAGCTGCTTCCTTCTTCTGTGATACTATGCTATAAATAGGGAATGTCTCTTGATTAGATGCTAATGCCAATTATGTTCAAAAACTTCAGGAGGAGTTTAGAAGTATATGCAGGTTAAGAATGGACAAAGAACAAGAGAAATATTTAAAGCAATGTGTTTTTCTTGGAGAAATTTTCTTATAAAGTTGTATTAGTTAACAATAGACAGTAACATCAGAAAGCTTTGATTACTTAAATAACTGTCTGATTTATGTTTTACCCTCTTTTTTGTGTGTTTCCTTTAGATAAGAAATGTTGAAACCAATCAGTGTTTAGACAACATGGGCCGCAAGGAAAATGAAAAAGTGGGTATATTCAACTGTCATGGTATGGGAGGAAATCAGGTAAAATCTTCCTTCTTAGCAGCTTCATATTTTAGAGCAAAAATATTGTTGAAACTATCAGTGTAGATCATGGCTCACATGTTAATAACTATAAACTAAGCTTAGTAAATAAATGTGCATTCCAATCTAGAACTAATTTGGCTATTGTCTGAAGGATCTTAAAAGAGTGCTGAAGAAGTAAATAAAAATAAAACTTTCAGTGTGCCTACAGTTAATGAAGATATCCAAATATTTTAGACACATTTTATTATATATGAGCAAATGAGGAGTACATTTCATTCTATTAACTGAATATATAAAACAATTCCTCAACATCTGTGATTTTCCCCCAATGGTTATTATTTTCCATTTCTTTTCAAATTTTTATGTATGTCATGATTTTTAAGAGTTTTTGAAGTTTAATGAAAACTTTAAGTGCACAGTTCAGTGTTGAAGACTAAAAGTCTTGAACAGCATTTCTTGTATATGACAAGAGTTTTTGTGCTCTCCTTAAGCATTGGAAAATGGCTTTGCAAGGTGGGCCACATGGAGGCTATTTGGCTGTGAGTCTTCAGGATAGAGCTATTCTGTTGCCATGGCCACCTGGAGAAGCAGAATTTGAAGTTTAGGGGAACTATACCAACAAAGCAAAGTTTGAGGTAGCTGATCCTCTGTAAACAAGTTGTCTACAGCAGTTTAGGAGAACCACAAACTCTTTATCCAGAGGTAGAATTTCTGAGTTAGAGTGAACTGAGGTTGCAGAAGTTATCCTGTTTAGCACAATTACAGCTGTATGTGTGATGCACCTAAATGTGTCAAGATTTCGTACAAAAATACTTGTTGATTCTTGTACTGTAAAACAAGAAGAAAATGAACTCCAATGAGTTCTGGTACCATACTTCAAACAGGGCTTGTGTTAGTCAATGGAGAACATTAAAAGGAAGTTTCTGCCCTTAAAATTCTTAATTTTAAAAGTCCTAATTAGTGTTCCAAACTGTCAATTTAAGCAAGAAAATATTTAAAACAAATTTCTAAATTACTGCATGGGAAATTGACCTTATTGGAAGAGGATAGAAACAACATAGGCAGAATAATGACAAAGCTTTCAGAAATGATCAAATTTATTGTTTCATTGATTCATAATGAATGTGAGAGGCCTCTACTGCCAAAAACCAATGGAGTCCTGATGAATTCAGCTAGAAACAACAAAATGCATAACTATAAGAGGACTAAATGTGTAAGGGTTTAATTTTCTCACATAATAAGAATTCTAACATTTGTTTAGGACCTCAGTGATTTCATAAGGAAACCAAAAACTTAGTATCTTTCCATTATTTAGTGTTTAAGAGTTAACTTTTATCATCAGCTGGTCAGAAGAGGGCTGCTGAAATTTCATAGGTCATGTCTATATTCAAGGCAGGAACATCTGGGGTTAGGGAAGAAGTGTAACAGCCATATCTGTTCTTTTAGGATAAGCGAAAGTGTTTGTAGAGGCTCAGCACATCTTAGTGTATCTCTCTTTGGCTACAAGTGTGTTACTTGGACATCCCCAGTACAGCAAAACACTGAATATTTAACCTTATATGACAAGTAGCTGCTTCATGGTTCATTTACCAAGATATTGGGGGCACATTTAGAAGTGCCAGTCATAATCTGTTTCCACAATTTATGGCAAAAAAAAAAATCAGCTAATCATCTGCTCCATGATGTCATACAGAATTTAAAAAAAGAAACACTACTTATGAAAATCTCTGATTCTATTGCTGATGAAAACGAGAAAGGTACCCCAGATGAATTCTCTACATGGAGTCATTACGGTGTCATGTTAAAAATTACTTTATTCATCTACATGTTTTTAAATACCCTGAAATAAGCTATCCTATACTACTACAAACTTCTTGTTGACAGTCCTATATCTTACTTCTGTTTATCCAGCACATGCTACAGTTTTGGGATATGGTAGGCATCTGACGAATACAAGCAAGCAAATAGATGAAAGACTGTATGGTCAGAACAGTAGATTTGTATCTTAGAACTTTGTAGACATTGCCAAGAAATCATTGGCTGTTATTTTCAAAGTAACCAAAAGTATATAAAAACACCTCAGGGGTTCATAAAGAAAGTGAACAAATAAGCATAAAATCTATTCCTACATTTATTGTAATGTGCTCTTCATGATCAATTTAATGACAAGCTAGAAATTAAAATCATTATTTTCCCATCTATATAAATGCTTAATTGCACAAATATATATATATATATATATACATGAATGGTTTTGGAGCCCTTTTTCTTATAACACAAACAATGGAAACAATTCAGTATTTACCAAGAGAAGAGTGGCTAAACAAAGTATGGTTGGCACATAGTATAGAAGATTGTACCGTCAAAGAGACTGAGGGAGGTCTGCATGAATGTCATTAGAAATTTAAAAGAGAAAAACAATCCCAACAACTTCTTTCCAATAATCCCATTTATGAAAAATATATGAACATTTTTCTATATATGGTATCTGTATATTTATAAGGATGCTGTGTGATCTATTACAAATCTATAAAAATGTATCTGGAATGTAGATTGTATTTGGAGAGTGAATATCTGGAAAGAAGACTGAATTGGAAAAGAAATTTTCCTTTTCACCCCACATTTTTCTGCATGCAGTATATGTATTACCTTCACAATTAAATAAGAATGGAGAATTTTAAACAGTTGAGACTAAAAGAACATTGTTGTGTTGCATTACTCCAATCTGATTAATTGGGTAACATCTGGCAAGCTATGTAATATTTTTGAGTTTTGATATTGATTGTCCATAAAATGAATAAAAGATTTCACTCAAATTTTTTCTAAGACTAGAAAAATTCATTAAAAAATTAGCACTAAACATGACAGACAGTAGACACACAATATGTATTGGTCCATTGCCACTAATTAGTCCCTTTACTTATTATTTCCATTGATGTTGTTAATTATTTTTCTTTTTTATTCCTAAAGTTAAAAAATGTTCATTTAGTGGCTAATGAACAAGTGGTTAAAAGCAAGATAAAAGCACAACACTTCATTTGTTGTTGTTGATCTCAAAACAATGAACAGAGTTCTGTAACTCTAACAAATATATATTATGGAAAATTTTAGCCATCACAAAAAACTCAATTATTATGAATTCTGCTCTGATGGAATTCAGTATTTCTAAGATAATTAATACTAGGAACCTGTTTAAATTTTTGTCTTTCTCACTTTAATAAAAACAGATTTTAGAATTGTATTCTCAGAATTACCCTTCCTGGTTTTATTGCTGTTCTTTTATGTTACCATGGAAGCAGCATTATTTTTATGGCTGTTTAGTTTTGAATGTTTTATAAGTAGCCCCCAACCCATACAAGTTACTCAAGCTTTTCTCTCTTGCTTTTACACAAAAAATCACAACAAATGTTAAAATCCATTTTTAACTTGGTTATATTTCTTTAAAAAGGTATTTTTGGTTCTTGACAATTATACCTTAATCATCTCTCCTTGCACAGGAGTTTTGATAGTTTGCGGGTTTTTTAAGGCCTTGGGAACATCAGGAAGAAACTTGCTTTTCAGTTGTTGTTAGAAATAATTTTCTTAACTCAGATTTCCAGTAAAATCTAAATGGAGTCACTGAAAGTTTTTGTAGCAGGAATACTGCAAAAACTAACAACTGGAGAAGTGTTGTTAAGTTCAACACGACCATTTTGAAGTGCTCTTTTAAAATCCTTATAAATAAAAACTGTCTTGCTCAAAGAATAAGAAAATTCAGCATTCCATTTATATCTATTCTTGCAATGATTTCTTTTCATTATCAAGAAACTTCATGATGATGAACACTTTGAAAAGAATAAGAAGAATTTGAATAACTTGAACATAAACTTTTACAATCGAAAGACAGAACTTACAATTTACTGAAATAAAGTATAGAAGTTATGAGATTGTCTTCTCTGTACTTCTGAGAGATGACATAGATTCCTGAAAGCACTTCCATGTCCCTTACATTAATGGCTCAGATTTACATGTACAGCCCCAACCTCTCTCCTGAGCTCTGGAAATCTATAACCAGTTACTTATTGTTAATGTCTGCAGACATCTCAAACCCATCTGTTTCCTGACTGAATTCATTTCCTTCCCTTTCACACAGTCATCCAAAATTGAAACCTAACATAGAAACTTACTTCTGAAGTCTGATTAGTCACCAAATCCCAACATTTCTATGGCAAAATGTCCCTACCTCTTCGCCCTTTCGTAACCAGGATCTCTGCCTTTGTTCCAGCCTATATCTACTTTCATCTGTATGGATTTAAAACCTCATTATTTCCATGACTCATAATTCATGTTACATTAGTTTAATATCTCATTAAGTCTTCAGCTTTCCATGACCCAAAGAATAAAAGCCAAATTCCTTAGTATGATACACAAATTATTCATAACTAATATCCCCATCTGGCTTTCCAGCCTGATCTACCTTGATGTCTTAGCAATCTCCTGTGCTCTAGACATATGTCTGATAATTTCTCATTCCTTGCATGCTTTCAGTGTTTTCATATCCCAGAAGTTGACTTACACTGTTCTCTGAAATTGAGTTGTTGGCTACACTGTGCTCCACTAAAAATCTTAAGACACACCCACCGTTGAAAACCCAAATAATTTAGCTCCTTTTTTGATAGTTATTCCCTAGCAACTCCTTAACCTAAACAGGACACATTTTTAATGGATAAACTATAATTCACTCATTCTTTTATTGTTTAACATAGAATATTTTTAAATGTTCATTATTATAAACCAGGCCCATCAATTTCCTTGTAGCTAAAATGTGGTGATCACCAATATTTACTTATTTAGAAATATGTCTAGAAGTACATTAACTAAATCAAAGGTGATACAAAATTATAAGGCTTTTAAGATACAGTGACAAATTATCCTTTTTTCTTAAGATTTCACCAATTTAATAAGACTAATAGCTCAAATAAAAAGGACTTGGATAAACATTTAATACAAATTACCCT